GCACTATCCCATTTTTAAGTAGAATGGGAAATTCAGCACTCTAGGATGGAACCATGAACAGGAGAGAAAAAAATGAACATCAAACACTGTATCTAAATCATATTGGCAACTATGAATTTGCTGGTCCATGGAGGAAGCTGACATATTTGAGTCAAAGGATTCATGTACTGTTTGTTCCTTTATAACTCAGACCATCATCTAGCAACAACAATAGCACTTAGACTTATATACCACTTTACAGTGATTTACAGCCTTAAGTGGTTTACAGAGTCAGCCTATTGCCCCCAACAATCTCGGTCCTCATTTTACTGACCTCAGAAGGATGGAAGACTGAGGTTTTTACCAGAACTGTGCCAATATGATATATCCAATAAAACTAAAGCTTCACCCCTTTGGTCCAGAGCTGCTATTCAGCAGGTTCTGACCAGTTCTGGAGAACCGGTAGCGGAAATTGTGAGTAGTTCGGAGAGCCAGCAAATGGATCATTGAACAAGTCAACTAGGAGTTCTCATTCCAAACACAATGATCAGGTTCAAATAATCATACTTTGGACACATTACAGGTGAAACTCTATTCTTGTGATAATCATCACAATTATGACAAATCATTGCTTGAACTATCTTGCTTTTCATGTACTGAGTCTATCTCATATATTAGTTTCACCTTTTAAGTTGCATTACTGAAATAAATGAATTTTTGCACGATATTCTAATATTTTAAGTTTCACCTGTATATGAAAACATTGCTCTCTACAGAAGTTCGAAAGTTGGGAAAAGTGGAAGAACAGAGAAGAGGACAATCAACAACCAGGTGGATAGGCCCTTGATGCTGAAAGATGCACTATTGGAAGATCTGAAATCTTAGGTTGGAGACAAATCGTCTAGAAAAAATCTCTATGCGTATCAGGTGTCGGGAACCAGGAGGACTCCGTGACCAGGTCAAAGTAGCTGCTTTATTGTTATTCTCCTTTTATAAGAATCTCATCAAATTAACTAGGGGTGACGTGATAGCAGTGTTCCAATATTTAAGGGGCTTCCAAAAAGAAAAGGGGAGTCAACCTATTTTCCAAAGCATCAGAAAGCAAGTCAAGAAACAATGGAAATTAATCAAGGAGAGAAGCAACCTGGAATTAAGGAGAAATTTTCTAACAATGAGAATAATTAACTAGTGGTCCTTTACAGAAGCACAAAGATACTGGCAGAAAATTAAAACATGGCTGGAGGAAATGACGACAGAACAGACTGAATTCAAACACGAGTTCTTCCTATTGGGGATCTTTAATAAACAATTTCCAAAAAAATGAAGTATATAATATTGCATATATTGACAGCAGCTAGATTGGCCTTTGCACAATGTTGGAAACATCCTCATACTCCACCAGAGGAAATGATTATTCAAAAAATACTAAATTGTACAGAAATGGATAAATCAACTCTAACATCAAAAGAGAAAGAAACATCAATGTACTATGAGAGCTGGAACTGCTGATATGAATGGTTAGGTAACAGATGAGCTACATAATATTGCAAAAGAGGATAAGCTATAATTGTAGTGGTAATTATATATTTGCATTAAGGATTACTTGTAAATATGGCATAAAATAAGGATAGAAATAATGACCCACAAACTGTCAAAGATGAAATTGTTTTTAATCACTTTTTGACTTTTCCTCTACTCTTCTTTTTTCTTTTTCTCTCTTTCCTCTCTTACTTCTCAATTCTGTTCCTTTTCTTCTTTTCTACATTTGTGTATGTGTTGTTTATTTTAATTATAAAATTAATAAAGTTTTTTTTTTAAAAAAAGGAGAAATTTTCTAACAGTGAGAATAATTAACTAGTGGAACCGCTTGCCTTCAGAAGTTATGGGTGCTCCGTCACTAGAGGTTTTTAAGAAGAGACTGGACGGCCACTTGTCTGAAATGCATAGGGTCTCCTGTTTGAGCAGAGGGTTGGACTATAAGACCTCCAAGGTCCCTTTCTAAGTCTGTTATTCTGTTAAAAAAACCTTTTTACTTTCCTCTCGACTCCACTCTAGATTCCATCACAGTGTGGATGCTAATGACTTGGCAGCACATATTCAATCCCTCTAGTAAGAGGATCCCAAGGAAATTGTAAGAAACTTACTGGCTGAGATCCAAGACTCAGAATTCTGCAGGTTATTGTCCTGGAAGGCATACGATATTTCTTCTGACTTCACCATTTACATTTCTTTCTCCTTGCTTTGGGATACGGTGAATACCTTCCCAACATTTGCTTTTGTCTGCAACCAAATAAGTTGGAATATTATCCATGAAACTTGTAGCACAAAAATGTAAAAAAAATTTCTGGTGGCACAAGATACATTTATGCCAAAATGAGACAGATGTAGGATGCTTCCAATTGTTTTTTAAAAAATTATGCTTATTCTGGAATTCAGATCGTATTTTGGATTGGAGGCACATTTTACAAATATTCCCACACCTTTATCTCACCTGATCTGTGGTAATTTACAGCGTAGGATCTATGAGTAATATGAAGTATTGCATTATGAGATAGTTGATTTCTTAGATCAAACGTGTCAATTGGTAGAACTGTCTGGTTTTTGATTTACAATAGTATGGCACAATTCTAGCTCAGTTTTTTTTTCTTTTTCTGGAAAAGAAAAGAACAGAAAAATAAGGAAAGGAGAATGGAATTCATTCAAAGTTTACTAAGTGCCTACTTTCCCAATATGCTGACATTTTGTATAATTTCTATCCAATTTCTAAGAACTAATAACAGACCTCTTTAAAAAATACATCACACTGTTTTCATTCGTTGACATGAACATTTCCTTTGCAAAGTATAATTTCTCTCTATGCATGCTCTTTTACCAAATTACTCTTTGCAGACTGGTCATCCTTAGTGAAGTGTGCAAACCAGCACCTGCATTTCCTGCATCAAACTCAGATGAGGAGATCACATCGTTCTCCTTCTGTCCTGGTCACTTTTTACAGAGGCACGATTGAGAGCATTTTAACAAACTGCATCACTGTTTGGTTCGGGGGCAACAGTGCCTCC